AAACAGTTTGTCACAGCCCCTCGTTTGTTGTCCTCTTCTCCCTCTCTGCCTACGGTTTACCGGGCAGTTCTATTTGACGATATATATATATAGACAGGGTTACCTGACCGAACGTTCGGGGGCCCCCGGGCAGGCCCCCGAACGTTCGGGCATTGGGGGGCCGAACACCTCCAGGTTCGGCCCCCGCCAAAAAACATTTCGGGGCCTAGAAATAAGTTTTTTTTTCTGATTTTTTTTTTTTGTGAGTTCTCTATGATTTAACCTACACGCCTATAAATTTTGCAGTTATTCCGCTAATCCCAAAAAACATTAAAAATCGTCAAAGATGGGGGTGTCAAAACGTGCTCGCCCACTCACTATGTTGTTTTTTTTTTACTTTAAACTTTCTGTTTTCACTTTATTTCGAGACCTAAAAAAAATTATTATTTTTAAAAAAAAATTAATGAGTTATTGATTATGTAAAATACATATCTGTAAATTTTTAGGGCATTTTTCAATGCCAAAAAATAATTAAAAATCGGCAAAGATAACGGTGTCGAAAAGGTGCTGGCACACTCTCTCATTTTAATTCTCTTTTTATTTTTTCTAATTTTTATTACAATGTCTATTTTCTGTATTTGACTTTTAACTCAAATTTGGTAAAGAATCTTGATGTATTACCCTGGTAAATAATGTTGTTTATTTTTTTTCATAACATGTGTTTTTTTTGGAAATTTTTTGAAACGGTTTTTTTTTTTTTTTTTTTTTTTTTTTTTTGGGTCTGCATTCGGCCCAAATGGTCGAACGCCTTCCGAAGGGGTCCCGTTGTCGGAGGGCGCGGTGTGCCGGGCCTCCTCTGTGTATTGGGTCCCTGTCTGATAACGGCCCCTTATCCCAGTGTCGTTGCCGATGGGGGTCTATGAGTGTGTTTCAGAATTAAGTTCCCTGGTACCTGGGCTGTGCCATGACGTGGACCGGCCCTACTCGGCGTTTGCCTCAACAAAAAGGTGCGCCACAGGGCTTTCCATTGGTCAACGCACGCTTGGCGCCCTGCTGTACAGCAGAGCACAACCGGCCTGTGGCCGTGGTAGCCGCCAGGTTCACCGTGGGATGCGGAGGTGAAAAGACCAGCGCTGTCTTTTCTGCTGTGCGCCGATCGAGCCCAAGGCAAGTTATGGGATATGTACACGGAACAGGTCAGTGTCAAAAAAGAAAAGGTTGATAAAGGGAATAAAAGAAAATAAAATGTGCAGGAGTAAAAAAAAAAAAAAAAAAGGAGAAAGCAAAGCGTCGGAACTGTACTTCGATCGTGACCCTTGTTTTAATCTGGGATAATCTAGTGATATCGGGTCACTAGACAGTTGAGTTTTTCTCTTTCCATTATTATTATTATTATTATTATTATTATTATTATTATTATTATTGATTTACCAGTTTTCAGGCTGGGGTTTCCCCTTTCTTGGGTCCCGTCACTTCGTTGGGAGACCGTCGATTCAGGTTTTGGACTGCGACTGCGGTCTCATGGTCTAGGCCTCACCGACCCCCCGCATATCACCTGTGCCGGACCTTCTCGTTCGAACTGCGTGGTGGAACCCCAGTAGCCTCGTTAAGGCATAGAAACAGCGACCTGGAAAAAAAAAGGAAAAAAGGGTCGAAAAGTTGGGATTTAGATTTGTGCGTGGACTCGCACCACTATTCATGCGGAACTAATTCGCGGAGGAAATTCGAATTGCCACCTTTCCTTTTCCTGCGATTATTATTATTATTATTATTGTTATTATTGCCTTACCGGTTTTCAGGCGCGGCCTTCTTTTACCTTTTTTGTCACATCGCGGGAAGGCCAACGGTTCGAATTTGGAGTTGTGGCCCGAATTGGTCGACCTCACTTATTTCGTGTGAGAGTGAGCGCCGACTGAGTACTGCGCGGTTAGGCCACAAAAGAGGGGCGACCCGCGGCCGCTTCGGTAGGAGGTTCATCACCCCCTATAGGAGGTCATGAACCCCCTTCTTACCATCGGATGCGGGCACCCATCAGGAAAATAGGCAGTAACTAGTTTTGAAGAAAAGAGAGCGCATGTCAGTATCCAATTATGGGACCACTTCCTGGAGGTCGCGATTATTATGACGGCAAGATTAAACGACAAGGGCAAGATGTGAAAGGTCTGAGTGTGCGGTGACTAGCGATGTTTAGTTTATCGCTCCACTCTTTTATTTTATTTTAACTTTAATCTAATTTATTTTATTATTTTCGAGACTCACGGGAAGCTGATAAGCCAAAACTAAGTCTATCTTGAACTCTGCGCTCAGAGCAAGGGGGTCGCAGTGTAATAGGAACCTATAAAAGAGGGGAAAACCAGACTACTAGGCGCTTCTAGTCTGAGGGTGCTTGCGCGCTATCTCGCTACATCAGTGCCGCTAGTCTGAGGCCAAAGGCTGGAGTAGTGAAGACAGGCGTTAAGTCAGTCGAAGTGCGTACTCTTGGGGTCGGGACCCTGGCTATTCAAGACGCGGCTATGGCTTTGCATGGGTATAGACCCTGCTACTGGTACCACCAGATTCAGTGGAAACCCATGTTCGAGGAGGGGCCTTGGATCACAGCTATACTTAACTACGACGGGGGAGATGAGATGAGACTGAGGATCAACGTGAAAGGAGGAAAAGAGGTGGAGATACGGACTAATGGGAAGTTGCAGGACGCTATCACGGAGACGAAAGATCGTGTGGAGAGGCGTTGCCGGAGGAACGGCGTGACGGCGAGAATGCAGGTAACGGTCTCGTATCATGAGACCGAGACCTCCATGGACATGGCGCATCTGAAACAAGCCCACGTGGACAGGGACTCGGCTGGGGAGAGCGAAATGAGTGAAGCAGGGGATCGGGAAACGGATCTCAGATCCTGGAATAGACCAGGCGAGATCCAGAGGCACCACCGGGCTGTGAAACCGGTGGAAGAGGGACCCGAGGCAAGCTCGCGACAACTGACACCAAGGGGTCGTGGGACGGGTGAGAAGCAGAGCAAGGGAAAAAGACAGGCCTGAAAAAGAGGCATGGGAAGTCTGTGTGATGGGACTGAACCCGAAAACGGAGAGGCAAGAGCAGTAGCACAGACACACGCGCGACAGGTGGCGTGGCCTGGAGAGCGAGAGAGCAGTCAACGGAAGAAAGGGGCTGGGTAAACGGACGCGTAGAGAGAGGGTGACTCTCTTGAACTGTGAGGACGTGCGCTAATGAGTGACTGTTGTGTAGAGAATGTGTAGGCGTGCACGAGAAGGGAGTGTCAGGGGTCAATGACGAGAGGAGAGGCAAGTGCAGTTACTGAGAGACACGAGCTACACGTGGCAAGGCTCTGGAGAGCAGAGAGAGAAGTCAACGTATGCAGGCGAGACGATGAGAGGGACGCGTGAACCTGAAAATTTGTTGTTGACATCAATCGCCATCGCGCCGGCGTGACGCTCTAGCCGGCTGGGTGACTATAAGTTTTGGCCACGCTGCGAGAATCATCAGACGCTAAGTGTGAGTTGCACTCACGTGCCCCTCTCTAGCGATAATGCCATTGCGGGTGACCAGTGACAAATGCTCTCAGATGAGACGTGACACGGTCAAGAGTTAGTTGGGAGGAAGACTTGACACTAGTTGGACGGGGGGGGGGATGCGCTGTACGATCTGCGCACGACGTGTTGGTGATAACGAGAGCGACAGTGGAGTCAATCGGGGAGAAAGCCTTGGCCCTACGGGGAATACGAGCCAGGCAAGCATAGTTAACTTCAATCGCCTACTCGAAGTGTGTTCACCTGCTAAGCGCTATGCGCTACTTCCAACTCGTCAGATACGGTGGTGAGTGAACTCGCGGGAGTTGGCGGGACTGAAGAGTGACACACAATCAGCGCGGGTTTTTGCAATGCGAAAAAGTGGATTGAGACTTGATAACTGATGTTAACCTTCGCCACCTTCACTCTGGGTTTGCAGTTGACGTCACTTGCTCCAGAGTTGGATAAGTTGTTTTGTATATGGTTCTTGGCTCTGCGTTAACTTCACGCCGTAGTTTAGTGAGGCTTGTGTGGGCGAGATGTTGAGTTGTTGAGTTGTTGATAGCAGTAGTTGCAGATGAGTAGGGTGATCATTAGTTATATCAAGAGTCACCCTTGCTTAAAGAAATCGGGAATGAGCTGGTATACTCAAGCACTACACGAGTCTGAAACGCTCAGTATGGAAGCGTGACAGGTAAGTTCGAGCCTCTTCCATGAGCTAAAGTTACAGTGCAAGTAAGCGGTTATTTCCTTGATCGTTGCTTGATGAAGCTGGTAGCTGTGAAGATTGTGGTTTTAATTTTTTTTCTTTTTCTTTTAGCCGTCTTGGAAATTGGTTGTTGAAGTTGAATGATGTCATAGGGAGAGAAAAAAAGTAACCGAGGGAGTCGCACGAATTAACTGAGAAACCAACACAGTTCAATTGTGATCCCTCGAACACTGTTTCTCTTTCCGCTCAATTGATTGATGGGAAAGAAGCGATCAGTGATTCGAGAGATAGCCTACCTGTTAGTTAAGTACTTACTCGACGGGGATTAATCCCTGAGCTCATCTATGTTAAGCTTGCTATTGTGAAGGGTTTTAACCAGGGAAAGTCACTAAAGTTTTCTTTGTAACTTTAAGCGCTGACTTTATTTGGGATTTCTACGGCGAGAAAGAAGGAAGGGTGATCCACTAGTTGTTGTACCTTAAAGATGTTTTTTGTTCCTATTCCATCGGAAATCTTAGCAGGTCTCTATTTTGAGAACGCTGCAGCGAGACCTGTCAGCCTGGACGGGTCCTTGATCCTTGGTGTATTTGACCTTGTGATCAAAGCGCAGCAAGACCTGTCAGTCTAGAAGTGAGTATGGGTTTCGCGAGTGACACCTAAAATTGTATGATCATTACGTTGTGAGGAAACCCGGGGAGGGGCGCCTACCGTTCGTTGAAGCCAAGGGCCACGGCGCCTGTCACTCGCCGCGCCCGCTTCCGAGGTCCTCAGCGACCAGCAGGGTTCGAAGTCGAGAGCGTCCTGTCACGCTCCCTTTTTTTTTCTTTTTCTTCCTTTTTGTAATTTAGCAGCTTCGATCAGCAAGGASTTCCAACAGTCAACTRGTATCGCTCAACAGTACGTTTCARCAACCAATTAATAATTCAGWWWATTGGTATCGCTCAAMAGTACGTTTTAGCAACYAGGGAGATACAACAGTCAACCGGTGTCACAYAGCAGCGCGTTTCATCAGCCRATGGATAATTCAGCCACCCCACGCAATGGTGAGTTTTTAGCAGACAACTGGGAATTGCAACTAGGCCGCCACRGCAAGTTTCACAGTCAACTTTGGATGAGTCACCCCACTCTCTCTTTCTCTCCCATTCGCAGTTCTCGCTCCCTTACTCACGCTGTTCTCCCTCCCTTAGTCCCGCTGCTCTCTCTCTCTCACTCTCGTTGTTCTCTCTCTCTCACTCTCGTTGTTCTCTCTCTCTCACTCTCGTTGTTCTCTCTCTCTCACTCTCGCTGCTCTCTCTCTCTTACTCTCGCTGTTCTTTCTCTCTCACTCTCGTTCCCTCTCACTCAATCTCGTTGTTCTCTCTCTCTCACTCTCGCTGCTCTTTCACTCTCACTCTCGTTGCCTCTCACTGCCTTTACTAACCATGGTCTTTAGTCGCCGAGCCCTAAGTTCAATCACTTCGGGCGGGGAAAGGGTTTAATATTACCTGTCTTGCCCGCCTGATCAGCGAGCTCAATGCGAGTGAGCTAATGGAACTCATTGTCGAGGACCATTACGGCCAAAAGTTCTGCACTGCTTTAGAGAGCGGATCAAAGTTCAAAGTTCAAAACGTACCCAGGCAGGGGCAGCAACCGGATCAGTCAATTCTGTCCCATGTATATAAGTTGTTCAATCGGCCAGATTATCGTACATGTATCTGCACTGCTTTAGCGGGCAGATCTAAGTTCAACGTTCGAAATGTACTTGGCAAGGGGCAGCG